CACAAACTGGAACCTCATCTTACCTGCTCAGAATTTCACAGAGAAGGACAGACCCCGAACCTTCCTATGTATACGGAGAAACCTCAATCCCATCATCCAACCTATCTAGTTGCCCTCCAGAAATTGCTACACTATATTGATGACTAGTGTTTATAGCCCCCAGAAAACTCTCAAAGGCTTCACAGATTTCACTCACTGAACCAATTCAGAAGGCCCCACTAACCACACAGCTTCTCCTAACAATTTGCACAACTTATTCCAACCCCCAATCCCCCCTTTGGGACCCAAACCCTAGCAAGACCAACAACAAATATGCTGAAAAACTGTTCAACATGCTTACAGACTGAGCCCTCAGTCTGCACTCACCAAGAGGAATCCCCACCTTTGCAGTACAATCACTCTAAACTGAAGGCACATAAATTGATCAGGTATGGGTCAACAAAGCCCTTCACAAAGCCATGATCACTTGCTTCATCAATGAAGACTGCATTTCTGCCACTATTCTGACCACCAAGCTATTGTCACCATTTTATCTACATTATCTGGGGACAGGACCTTGTTCAGTTCACAGTCATTGAGATGGAAGAACTGGAACAAGTTCAATAATTACACCTTCCTTAAACACAACTTGTCAGCTCTACTACCTTAGCTCAGGATTCTCCCAACTCAAGAAGACATTGTGTTCTTTGACAAATCCATGTGTGATGTGGTTGTTGTTGCCCAGAAAAACAAATTGCCGAAGAGGGCAGTCCAAGGAAAACCAAGGCCTGGTGGAGGCCGGAAGTCTTGGATTACTTCAAAAAGAAGCTATCACACTTCAACACATAGCAAAAAGACACTGTGTGGACAAATGACGCCAAGCCTACAAAAAGGCATACACTGATTTCAACCACACAGTAGACAAGGCTAAGGAGAACCCTGGAGATGGTCTCTCAGTTGACCACACTGACCTTTCCCACACAAAACTTACAGCATTGGGTCAAAAAACCTTTTTTCTAGTCAGCACCATCATCACGGACAACAGCAAGACATGCTCAACTCACAATGAGAAAGTGAAAGCTCTATTCTCAGGTACATGCATAGCTACAGCACTATGCCAATTGGACAACACAGACTTCAATTGACAAATCCCAATGCCCATTGATGGAAACAACACCACCACTCTACTCTTTCATCATCACCAAAAAAAAGAAGCAATAGTAAATAAAGGCCATTGCTATTTGCAGCCCACATGAAATCCATGTAGGCGCTGTCCAAATTACGCCTACACGGTTGTTTTCCGCCATAAAGCGCCTACATTTATAATGTAGGCGCGTTTTCCTTTTTCAAATGACGCCTACAGGCTGAATAACCAATGTAGGCGTCATTTGTGTACGCCTACATTCTGAAAATAAAATGTAGGCGCTATTTTCAAGTGCCTACATTCTAAAAATAAAATGTACGCGCTTTTTTTGAGTGCCTACATTGTTTTTTCCATGTAGGCGCTTAAGTTAGTTATAAGGGTCTTATACACATGTGAATACAAATCTAGAAGGGTGCTGGTATTAATATATATGGGTGTTGGTATCAAATTATAAGGGTGTTGGTATTAAATGATAAGGGTATCAAATGTAAGAGTGCGCATTTGATTATAAAATTATAAGGGTCTTATAATTAATTATAAGGGTGTTGGAATTAAATCATAAGGGTGTTGGAATTAAATTATAAGGGTGTTGGTATTAAAATATGTAGGCGCACAAAAATTACGCCTACAGTAAAAAAAAAAAGATGTAGGCGCATTTTCGTGACGCCTAAACAATGTAGGCGCTTCAAATTTACGCCTACATTTTATTTTTAGAATGTAGGCGTACACAAATGACGCCTACATTGGTTTTTCAGCCTGTAGGCGTCATTTGAAAAAGGAAAAAGCGCCTACATCATAAATGTAGGCGCTTTTTTGTGGGAAAACTTCATGTAGGCGCTGTTTTGGCAGCGCCTACATGCATTTCATGTGGGCTGCAAATAGCAAGGGCCTAAATACAACCCAACTAAAAAAGCTCCAGGGGGAGACAGCATCCAAAATTGGGTTTGGAAGTTGATCTGGGCCAAAGTAAAAAGACATGTAAAGTACCTCTTCCAATGCATTTCCTTCACTGATTTCATCCTGAGGGCTTGGAAAAAATCAGTCATGGTAATGCTCTCAAAACTGGGTAAACCAGACTACACCCAGGCATCAGTCTATGATAGACCAATACCATTAATCATGACACTGAGTAGTTGTCAAAAAGATACTCAAGGTGCATTTCTGGTTTTGATATTTCATATTGTTTTTCTCTGGTTGAATATCTTGTTTTCTATGATTTGATTTACCTGAAATTTAAGCAATTCTAGAACTTCAAGGGCTGTAAACAAGACCACTGAGGATGTGATCATGTTTAAAGGAGATACCTATTTCCATTTAGGGTAGTCATTTTTTTGTTTGCTTTGAGAAACTGACAGTTAAGCTATCATTCAGGTCAATTTCATTGTTGTTAATTTTGGTAAACAACGAAATAATGCTCAATATTGATCCCATTGAAAAAACTGATGATGTTATATCTGAGATGATGTGAATCCAATCAGCTCTAGTCCAGCCATTGAGTCAAGTTTTTACACAAGACCATTTCCTGAATCTAAGCCCTTAAGTGAAGACATAAACGCAGCATATGCACTTAAACAATGTTCTTTTTTGTCTAACATGGGAGCTCCCAACAAGGTGCACAAATTTGAAACTGTATCAGTCAGCCATTTAAACTGCCAATTTGACACCTGTATGTCAAGTATTGGGCTTTGGGAACCTTGTACTTGATTGGGTTTTTATTTCATTCTTCCTTCTCCAGCACAAAATATACAATGGGCCAAGTTATTAGGTGTAGTCTCAGTCATTGACATAGGTATTGTTAACAGTTGAAAATGGATTTGTGTTCACTCAAACAATAAATTTGTGATAGACCTTTTCAGCTTTCATTGTCCTAATTGGAATGTGAGGCCCTTATTTTGGTATTGTGATAACTGGTGATTGAATTCTGGTCTGACCTAAGAATCAATTCATTGGCTGACAAGCTCTCTTGTCAAAATGTTTTATTAACAGCTGAAACTTATGACATTATTCAATATTCTCCCAACACTGTTTCCATTTCTTACCTTGAGATTGATCAATCTCTTTTCTCAGCAGGTTTAGAATCAATTCTCAAAGTTTCAAATTCTCATATTCACCCATGGGTACATCTACATTAAAAAAATCACATATCAGACATATTAATTTACAAGAATTACATGTCTTATCAAATCAAGATTGTTGTTCTATTGTCTTGAAGTCATCTCTTAATAAGTACAAGCATGGTTCCAAAAGGTTCTCTGCATTCTGTGTTGCTTTGGTCAGGCTCTTGATTTTTAAGTTCAAATATTATTTGATTTTGTCTCTTTTGCAAGTTGCTCTATTTATCAATGACCAGCTTGAGCTTACTTACACCACAAGGCCACCTGGATAAATTCAGAATGTCCTCTTCCTTTGCAGAGGGTGAGACATGCTGACACAGTATCCTGCAAGGCGTCCACTGGATTCCCCCTTGGACACCCTCACGGACCCTTCCAAGATGTCCTTGGACTGACAACACCGCCACAGCATCCAAGGGATAAAGTGGGGATTTTCCACCTCTGGTTCATCTCAATAATGTCCCAACTTTGGATGCCAGATGTAGGACGGTTGGGACATCCTCATGCAAAAAGATGTCATTGTGGTGTAGTTGGTATTGGTCATATTGCATGTTAGACTTGCCATCAAAATGTTAAACACCCTATGAAGTTGTGTATCAAGAACTGGTCAAAACCAGTAGTTAGGAGGATCCCACTTACTTTAGTTCAAATTCAATCTGTTGTAAAAAAAATCAGTATTTCACAACAACAAGTCAATTCTGGCAATGTTAGGTATTGGATTTGGCGGTCTTCACCATCTTGGAGAATTGATGATTCCAGATTCAAAATACCAGTTTGATGAGAAGAAAATTATCTCACAATTACCTCTTCAATTGTCAATATGTAAAGAACTTATATAATATCAACTTCTTTACACAAAATGCAACTCAAGCTTTGTTGGCTTGCCAGTTATTATCCAATCTTGTGCTAACACTTCAGCTTGTCCAGTCTGAATCCTCAAATCTTATCTTTGTTCAAGAGACACTGGATTTATGGCCGCTCCTGAACTTTATATTAATTCAGGTGGTTTCCCTCCTTTATGTGCATGATTTCTTTCAAGATTGTGTAAATATTTTGACAAAATGTTTTTGGGTCACTCTTTGCATTCTGGTGGTGCAACAGCATTACCTCAATCTGGCAATTCAATGGATTAGATCAAAAGTGCTGGTTGCTGGTCATCAGAGGTGTTTTTGATTTATGTTTGGGGACACATGGCCTTACAATTGCCTGAGAATCAGAGGCATGTAATTGGGCATGTGTCTCATGTTGGTGCAAACTTTACATTTGTTTGATCTTTATTGCCTTTGAGCTCTTTTTATAGTACTAGAGAACATGCGGGCGTGCCCGCAACAGGGGAACACTTTATTTATCCAATTGTCACAAAATAACACACTGTAACTTAAAACCACTTCAAAGACTGAATATAACCCATACACATTTCTAAACCCATCCTTGTATAGTAAATTTTGCCTGAATCAAAGCTATTTAATTATTCATTGCTTATGAAAAGCTTTTTATGACATTGCTTATTGTAAGCTTTTTGAAGGTTTTGGTGCATCCAATACTTACTGAAAAAATGTTTATTGCTTCTTTACTTTCCTACTTCACCACTCTTTGGATGCCCGGTTTTTAGGCGGTTCGGAGAGGGACTGCTTGGAAAGGGTGTTTGTTGCCGGAAGAAATTTATCATCACTAGACACTTAACCTTGGGACTTTGCCCAAGATGTTTTTTGCTTTTATTTTAGCATACTCTCCATGTTACACTATGTTCACTTGTGCACATTTCATCAGTTCCGAATCGAGCCATCGTTTGTGAAGGCGCTAGGTTTGTAATCAACCTCACTTCGGATTGGTCAGAAAATCAAAGTTGAGAGATGAGTATCTTATCTTGCGCAATGGATTATGGTCCGTAATTCAATGATCATGACTCACTAAACGATGCTTTGATCTTTGACAGGTTCGCAACCGTACGCAACTGATAACATGTGAAACTTGACAAGGTCAGTGTTGATAAACTTGATGTACACAGAACCTTGGATATACTTACCGTACAACATCGCGTTATTAAAATCGCATCTGAAGGTGGCAGTGACGACAAATTTACCGTTGAGCCACGAAGCCAATCCACAGTCTATACATACATTATGAAATCATTCTTTCGGTTTGGAATACCTTGGTGTGATATGCAAAGTACAATAAAACGCACCGATAACATCCTCCTCAAACTTTTTTCTAGCTGCGGTGCAACTTTGAGATGCCCCAGCACTGCCAGCATTATACAGAGAAGTGGATGATGGAGGGCCTGTGTATGGCTTACAATTGACCAGAGGGACTGTACCCTCATCTTTTGGCGCTGAACATTCGTATGCAACCCCACCTGGATTTCGACAAACTAGAAAATTTGGTCATGAGATCAAACGTGTCTATTTGAGAAGGTGAAGCATGAAACCTCAAGGCCCGAGGGTTACAAAAAAAGAAAACTCACGCCAATTGCTGTTGTATCCAGTTGGCCCGAAAAAAATTCCACAATCTTGTGTGCTAGCACCAAACGCAAAGCGTATGTATGAGAGGAGAAGATTCAACAAGATGATTAGAAGCCGACTGGAATACATCTCCAACGGTGAGGTCTACTCTTTGGATGTTGGGCAGCTCAATGCCTTTGATGTTTGTGTTTTGAATAGAGTCAGAATGCAGAGTTTTCAAAATCGAGACAGTGATGAGAAGATATGGAAGTGGACAATGTAATGTTGACGAAATATTACGACGAGTTTTTTTGGGTGTTTGAAATTGGAGGAAGTTATTATTATCCACTGGATCAAATTTTGTCAGTCAGTATATAAGAGCGACATGTCCGTTTTTATTATCATTGGTTGTGATCACCATGTACCCTCTGTGTACGGGTGACCGACGTCGAATTGCAAAGGTGGATTCAAGGAGTTATTGGTCTCGTCATCGACGCGGATCTGCCGACTTGCCTGAGTCTCGGTTGGCAGCTTGTTCGAAGGAAAGGGTTGGATGATACTGCAATATTGTTGAGTTATCACATTCAGTGGACAATATCAACTGATGATATTTGACTTCTCTATTTGTGACATTGAAGTACTTTGGATGAATCGTATGTGATGAATGGGTGCATGGAAATAAAGACATTTAGGTTCTGGCTGCATAGGAGGAATAATTCAGTACATTACTATCTGATACTTGTCCTTTTCACAGATTCAGCATGATGATTTGGATACCCTGCAGAGTCAGGTTCAAAGCCTTTCAATTTATATGTGGTTTTTTCTTGCCGCCGGTGTTTGTGTTATAAATTGAGTCAGAGTCCGTACGTAGTTTTTATTGTCTCGGAATCGAGAGGGTGATGAGAAAATATAGAAGTGAACAATGCAATGATAAGCAGATGGCACAATAAGTTTTTCTGATCTTTAGAGGAAGTTGAGATAAAAATATCTTGCAAGCGGTATATCAGATCGACATGTCCATTTTAGACTCTGATCACTGCTTGTGATCACCGCAACGACTTCAATAACCCCGTCCACGGTAGGTAGGATATCAACTTGTACAAATCGGGGTACGGGTGACCGGCTTTGAATCGCAAAGGCGAGCCCAAGGAGTCAATGGCCAGAGTCGCCTGACTCTCGGTTGGTAGCTCTTCGGTCGAAAGGGTTGGGTGATACTGCCGCATTGCGGTTTTGTAAACTCCACTGGATGATATCAACTGATGACCTTTGCCTTCAATGCGAATTGTGTTATGTGTTCAAATTGATCTTTTGAAGAATGGACAGGTCCTATAATCATTAAGCTTAATCAAGCCCCTCACGAGCGTGTTCGCGAGAATCATTTGTCGAACCTATCCAAAATCTTGAGCTCGAAAAACTTATTTTGACTTTTTCCCTTGCTCCTCTAGAGGCGTAAAAAAGTGGACGAGGTGTTGTATAGAGATGCTGAAACCTACGGTGAAGATAGTCCCCATTCACCTCAACCTGACAGTCTTCTCGTGAGGCGACAGAGGAGTTCTTCAAGTCTTCCTAATTCGTTGAATTCGGATCAATGTAGTCCACGTAGGTTATATCTTCAGAGAAACCTTTTGGTTTGGTGTCCTAGAGGATCACGTAAAACCTTCAGATCTATCGACTAGAATCAAACTTGGCGCCTGGCTTCAGACATGAGAATCGTCTAGATTTCAGAAGCTCTTAGAACCTGCAATACCATCATTGAGGAAAAGACTCTATGATTTCAAGACTTTAAACATTTTGCGAGTTGATAGCAAGAACCCCAGAAAGGTCCGAAGTGAAAACAAAGGAACAACGTTAATCTGGCGAGAAAAAGAATGGAAACAGACCTATTAAGTTGATGAGTATGATAGAACAAAGCCATCGGAATTTCACAAACAGTAAAAAAACTTGAGTAACTCAATCACAACAGATGTGGGATAGCATTCCTTGATAAATCATAAAGCTAGCATTATAAGATACACAATGTTTTGTGTATGAATTGATATCTCATTCATCAGGTATAAACTCACCTACACCAATCTAAAAGCCAATTGGTTAACCCAGAAAAAGTTAATCACCAATTAACAAACAGTCATGAGAAAATTCCGAAACTCACCTCATACAAAATCTTTTGTCTGAGATAGATCAAATCCTTTTGCTCAATATCAAATATGACTTGGTCATTCCCCCAGTTCCTACTCAAACAATCCATAAAAATACAGACAAATACTCCACAATCATAGGCATTATCTTGAGTGGGAATCTCCTGGGAAAAGGAAACCCCAAGATGAATTCCACTATCAATCAGCAATCTTAGAAGCTCAAATATATCCTTTTTGAAAGCGAAATTTTCAAAACTTACTGGATGGTTATAATCAATCCATTCTGACAAATCCATTTCAGATTTCGATTCGGCCATCAAATAACTCCTTAATTTCTAAAGGAAAATGTCCGAAACATAAATTCCAAAAGCTCATCCTACTAATTTGCAAGAACGAGAGAAATCTTTCAAAATATGTCGACTCACCTTTAAGATCCCCAAATGTTTGAATCCAAAACTATCTAAAACTTCAAACCTTTTCATCTTAAGATTGATCACCCCACAAATCCAATGTGAATTCTTTATATTGATAGGAAAAATAATCAAATCTTTTTCAAATAAATTAAACTAATGTTTCCTAAAAAGAAATGAAGAATCCATTTAGTCAAGCAAGTTTCATAAATAAATTATAAGCGATAGTAGAAAAGCCGACTTTTTTAGTCCATCTTTGTACGGCTTGATATCCATCGGCATCAAAACGAGTCATGAAGAAACTAGAAAAACAATGCACATTGTGAAACTTTGGGTTTTGATGGTAGTTTCTACTTCGCAAGTTAATCATGATTCCATAAAAATTGATCAATTCATCATTTAACCACCGATTTGGTTTGAGTCTTGAAAGATCTTCTACAGTACATGAAGCACCTGGTAAGTCAATTGTTGCTCTTGATTTGTTCAAAAGCTGTTCTACCTGTGGTAAAATCACATTAGTTCCTTCTTGAATCGAGATATTCAAGAAACTTGTGAATCATGACTGACCACTTGAGATTGTTCATGGCTAAGTTGTGATGGCCAACGTCTAGGTTTACAAAAATCCCTTGTATCTTCAAGTTTCAAGACCTTTTGAAATAAATCCGATAAATCCTCATCATCGTTTTTTGATCTTTGAAAAAAACCAAATGCAACTCTTCATGAATATTGAGTCGTGAAACCAAAAAGACTTCGATTACTTGAATTTACCATTTGCTTGAGTTTCAACTTACGGAATTAAATTTCTTGAATCGATTGGGTTTGGATGATCTTGATGTTCGGCAGTTCTAATTGCTTCATCTTCAGATCCTAAATCGATGTCATCTTTCGCTAAAGACTCTGAAACCTAAGAAGCAAGAAGAGAAAACCCAAAAGGCATCAAAAAGTCAAAAAGGAGCAAAGAAGGGTATACAAGGTGGAAGAAACACTTACAGATCTTCTCATAATGTTATCTTTACGTCTACCGATCTGATCTAACCTTGTTTCACCATTCTTAGAACTAAGCTCATCACTTTTTCTTCCATGGTTTTGTTTCGCGTTTAAGCTTTTATAATTAAGATCAAGTGAATCACATTCTTCCATAATTTTTAATTCATCTTCTACAGACAAACGAAATCAAAAAGAAAACAATTATACTTTATTTCTCAAATACAATTCGGTCGTTTCAAGGTTTTTTCTTTATAGAAAGCTTACTTGTCCAAATTTCTTTCTTAGGTTTTTCATTTGCGTCTTTGTTCGGTATCATCTTTCGTTTCATGAACTTCGGTCCAGGTTTGTTGTTCGCGAGTTCAAGAAAAGTGGTTGTCGCGATTAAAATTGATGAACGTGATTGAATGGGGTACCCGTATGTACTCGGCACACGGACCGGAGATAGTCTCAGACTCTCAGGTACGGGGCGCCGCACGTTGTCATCGAACAAAGCCAAAAGTTTAAACTTTCTTGCTCACACACCAAAATTGGTGGATAAGTCATATAAAGTTCCTCTCTTGCAGGCTGGCTTGCCAAGAGGAACTTTGTTAGGTCAGGCAGCCTGAGTTGGTTCTTGATGTTGTACATTCTCAAACTTTTGGCACCTCTTGTTTCTTTTCTGGAACCTCAAATGTTGCCCTGATCAAAGAGGAGCATGTCCAGAATTATCTTCTTTACCCAAAAAGCATGTTATTCATGTTCAAAGCTTTCACTAGCCATCAGAATAAATCTGATGATGTGGGAAAACTGTGATCTATATCTAGGCCCTGATCCAGGAATTTTTGATATCAATCTCAACTAATTTCTCATCTTTCCTCTTCTTGTGGATGTGGTTCTTGCAAATTGAAAGTTAATAAACACCCATTGATTCTTGAGAAAGAATGGCAAAGATTGATCTTTTATCTTTCAAGCAGAAGAAATGAACCAAATCAAAACTCAAGAAATCTACAATATAATATAGTTATTGATTTGTACTTGAATCTGGAGTCTTGATTCCATTTCTTTATCATCATCTGTCACATCCAAGTTAACCATGACATACATTAACTTCTGCCTGTCTGCTTCAAACAATGGAGCTTACTTTTTAATACCCTTCACCAATCATCCCAGTCACCAACATGCAGTGAGCGCAACGGGTGATTTTATAGATCATGGTCAGCCCATAAGCTCAACTCACCAGTAGAATTGGTGATGATTTTTGTACCAGTTTCCTAAAAGGTTTGAACTGAGTGCAGTGCCCTTCCAATAAGAGGGAAGTTGAAGTTGAACAAAGAGTGCCTAAATTCTTTTGTACTTTGGCCTCTCAGTCCTTCAAGATTTATTGTTTTCTACAACAAAAATCACTAGAATGTGCTTCTCAGATAAGTCTTTCTGATTTTTTTTTGTAAAATATTCAAGATGATTAACAGCATTCCAAGAGAGGTTTCTAAAACTTTTACTACTTCAAAGTAAACCTGCTGGCTTTGACTCAGAGACATGAGCTCAAGAAGAATTATAATTCAAATCAACAATATCTGCTGTGTGAGGCACATAAGCAAGTGAGAAGCTTTGTGTTTGACTGATTCTCAAGGCATTCAAAGAGACACTCTGGGCCTGGCTTCCTAAATACCTTTGGCAAAACAAAAATCCATGAATTTTCTTTTTGAAAAAAAATAGATGAATTTCTTTTTCTTTACATCCAATTTTCATAATCATGATTAGTTTGTATAATTTTTTTTTCTATTCTATTATAAGTCATTAAGAACCCTAATCATCAAAATGGAAAACAAAAAAAAACCAAAAGTAAAACCAAAAGAAAAAACGAAAAATGTCATTAATTTTTTTTACAAAACGTATGCATGTATATACACTTCATTCCCAGCTGTCCTTCTTCATCATCATCATCACCCATCATCCATCATGATTTTTTTTGGTAGTGGGATTCTTATCATTTCAAAGCTTGTTTAACATTCAAACTCAAACAAACAAACATAATCAAAAACCCAACCCCAACCAAACACTTAGCACCAAACCTCATAAGTTTCAATCGATTCAAAGGTACAATCAAATCCGTTTGTTCTTCTTCTTCAGATGATTTCTCTTCAAACAGCTTCAAAAAGAAAATTCCTGGTAAGATATATGAAATCGTCGTACTACCTGTTGATCCAACAAAACTCAAGACCTAATCAAATCTCAAACACTCCATTAGATTCATGGTTTGGAATGCAGATTCTAGAATCTAGAAAATCACTCACGGTTTCTAATCGATCCAAATTCACAGCAATAAAGAAACTACCCAACAAAAGCGAGCTAGTGATCCCCACAAACCTCAGAACATCCTCTTCTTCTTTCCTTTGGTCTTTTCCCACCTCTTCTTCTTGATCTTCTGAACTAACTTGAAGATGATGTGATGGTTTAAATTTAAAATGATTTAAAACCTTTTCAATCGAATTTCTACAAGGATGTAATTGTAATGGATACGAAAACAAAACCAATAAAGAAATCGCACTTCTACAGATCGAAATCATCTTTGAATTATGATAATCTGAAATCAAATTCGATGAAACCTAAACCCAATCTCATTAAAACTTTAACATCTTTTTTATGGGAGCAGAACGGAGGGTTAAGGGTATGATTCAAAACTTACATTGTTTCCAAAGGTTAGATAACCTAATGTACCAATCACTTCATAAATCAATGCAGCACTACCAATCGAAATTCTTAAAACCAACTTCATTCGTGAACTGTTATTCTATCCACGAAAAAAAATGACCAAATCTGTTAAAAAATTAATAAAAACTCAAGAAGAGAGATCTTTTTTTTTTGTAAGAAATTCCTGGAGAAAAAGAAAAAAAGGAAATCCAATGATGATTTTTTTTTTGATTTTTTTTCGTATCAACTTACTGAGATAAGTTCATTATGAACCGAAAAGACATTCTGAGCACAAGTATACCTAAAAAAAGATCCAAAATGTATCAAAAAAAAAACCATTCCACGATTTTGATTTTTTTTTAAAATAAACCCTTACGCAAAAACATAAACCGGTAAAGCTGTCCAAAACCCTTCACCAAACCTAACGAAATCAATCTCTCCTCTTTGCTTAAGCCCAGATCGATCGCAAAACTTATAAATAACCACGTACAATAAATCTAGCACGGCAATCAAAGCGATATAAGAAGTGTAACGTAATGAATTTAAAGTTTTTAGAAAGGAGAGTGGGACTAGGATGATCATGGAGATAGTGATCCAAAACCTTCGGTCTAGTATGATTGAATGATCATCTATTGTACTTGAATTAAACCCTAAAATCACCTAAACCGCAAAAGAAAAAGAAAAAGAAAAAGATCAGTTTGAATTGTGATTTGATTGATTTTGTTTTTGGATGTAACAAACCTGAGGCATAAGTTTACCAAAGATCAAAAGATAAGAAATCGAAACTCCAAAACACTTAATCGAGATAGCCAAATCAAACAAAAAACTGATTCTAGGAAAAGTGATTTTAGAGATTTCAAAAAAAGAAGAATTTCTAGGGGGGATCTTCGGATGAGTTGCACAGATTGAAAGTAATCTTAATCCAAAGTATGACATTAAACCTGAAAGAATGACGGTTAGGATTCCTAGGATTATACCGGCTGATGCAAATCCATGTGACATGGCTAACATTCCTGTTCCCTTTATCATCAAAGAAAATCATATATTAGATTTGGGGTTTTTAGGAAATTGGATGTGGAGAAAGATGGGTTGAGTAATTACTAGGATTGTGTTTGAGAGATTAGCAATAGAAGAAAAGAGAGTAGCTGTTCCATTTGAATTGGGTTGATCTGATGAGGTTTCATGGTTCGATGGTTCTGATTGAGATGAGTTGAGTAATGGAGTTAAAGTTTCGATAGATTGTTCTTGATGTCTTGATGATGATGATGATGATGATAAAGCCATTTAAAGTGAAATTGGATGAAAAGTATAAGTTTAAAGAGAGAGACTTGAGAGAGAGATTTCAAGTTGGATGGTAAGAACCTTTCACATTACATGTCACAGTCTGTCACAGTTAGTTTGATCTGTTTGACATCTTCTGATGAAACCATAGATCATAAACTTTAACAGACAAAATCATGACAAGAGAAGTTCCAGTGGTTTGGAAATGGAATCAGTGGTCATTTTGCCAGTCTAAAGTATCTTGATTTGTGATCTTTAAAGTGAAGAATGAGCTATGGATCGGTGTTTTGGGTGTTAAAGTCTGATTAAGATGAGTGGTGATTTTAAATTTTAGATTACATTCGATCAATCCGATTTCATCATCATAAGCCAATCAATACGATCATGATCATCAACACGAATCTTATGAATCAGAATCAAATCAAAAACTAATCACCATCACCAACAGCACTCACTCACTCAAATGTCATCATCAACAGATTCTACTCAAGTCATTTCATCATCCACTTCAACTATCAGAAATCATCATCATCATCATCATCATCATCAAATCAATCAAGAACAAACCAACTCAAATCAAGATTACTTTAATTATTCAAATGATGATCTCAATCTTCAATCCAACACTCTACCATCTGATCATGATTCATTTCATTCATCTGATCCATTACCATCACCACCACCACCACCACCACCACCACCACTACCTACTCATTTCGTATCAGGTGCTTCAAGAAGATTACCTGAACTACAACAACAATTACATCTCAATCCTGAATCTACTTCAGATTCACCTCAACCCAACGAATTAGATCCTTTACTACCCTTTACAATCGATCGATCACTTCCTACATCTCATCAACATCAACATCATTCTTCATTACCATTCAACACAGATCCACATCGACTTCCTTCACCCTTCCAACTCACTCATCCATCCTCTCAACCTTCTCACCCGAATCTTAAATCTCAACGTAAGATGGGTACCTTTGATGGAGTCTATCTTCCGACAATCTTAAATATCTTTAATATCATTTATTTTCTAAGATTTGGTTATTGTATTGGTCAAATCGGATTGGGAGCTACGATCTTACTGCTACTTTTGTCTTATTTAATTAATACTTTAACAGTCTTTTCTTTATCTGCTATTGCTACCAATGGTCAAGTTCGTGGTGGTGGTGCTTACTGTAAGTTTTCCTAAATTCAATGAAATTCAAAATTCCAAATTCAAACTGAATTGTCTGATTCTTTAGATCTCATCTCTCGTACACTCGGTCCTGAGTTTGGTGGTTCGATTGGGATCTTGTTTTGTCTTAGTCAAGCCTTAACAGCTTCGATGAACATCATTGGCTTTGTAGAAAGTTTAATCGAAGTGATCCATTCACACTTCAATCCTCCACTTCGAACGCCTTTCAATCCAACTCATTCCATCGAACCACTCTCCTCACCCAGTCCTACCCTTCGATATTTCATCAAAAGTCTTACCCTTTTCTTCGTCACAATCTCTTGTATCGGTCTAGGTAGAACTAAGATCTTTTCAAAGATGACTAGATCGATGGCCACAATCTTATTGATCACACTCATCTCCATCTTCTTTTCGTTTCTTCAAACCAAACCTTTTGAAGACTCATCCGAACATTTCCTCTATACTGGTTTCTCATTCAAAACCTTTGAAGAAAACTTTTATCCTTCTTATTATTCATCTCGATCTGAACCTTTGAATCCATCTCTTTTGGTTTCGCCTCATTTTTCTGATTATCAAAAAGTCTTTGGGATCCTTTTCCCTTCGGTTTCAGGTATCTTAGCTGGAAGTTCCTTATCAGGCGAATTACGAAAACCTAGTAAATCGTTACCTAAAGGGATCTTATGGGCTTTGATCTGTGTGATGATGATTTATTTCTTTAGTTTGTTGGCTTTAAGTTTGAGTTGTGGAAGAGATGGATTAAGTTTTGTCAATGAACGGAACGCGTTGAATTTATTAATGTTTCAAATCTCAAATTATAAAGTCCTGGTCGGTTTTGGGATCTTAGTGATCGCTATCTTTTCTAGTATTATGGGAATCACAGTGTGTGGGAAAATCTTACAAGCGATCTCTCGTGATGGTAAGTTCTTTTTGACAAAACTAAACGCTTTTTCTTTGTACATTAACTGATGGGATGAACTTTTTTTTTCTTTTAGGTTTGATTCCGATCTTAAAACCTTTCTTTAGTCAAGGTTCTCAAATTGGTGATGATCCGATTTATTCGATTTTGTTTTGTTATTTGTTTTGTCAAGTGGTTTTATTTTATAATATTAATAAAATCTCAATTCATATTACTACGATTAGTCTTTTAATCTTTGCTTGTATAAATTTAGCTTGTTTTACTTTAAGGGTGAGTTTTTTTTTTCTTCTTCTTTTGACTTTCAAATCTTTGATCCTTTTTTGAACTTTTTGGTTTTTCTTTTCGCGGGGGGGGGTTTTTTTAGATTGCTGGGTCTCCTAATTTTAGACCTAGTTTTAGACTCTTTTCTGAATGGACTGCTCTTTTAGGATTAGTTTTAACATTTGGCAAGTTACAGTTTGGATTTTCAGATCACCAAAACCCCCAACCCTGATTATTTTCTTTGGTTTTTGTGACAGTTCAAATGTATGCTGTTGACCCAGTCTCAGCTTCGACTTCATTAATAGTCATGATGGTATTGTTTGTAGTGATTCAGTAAGTTCTTAAATTTCAAATCTTGATCTTCAATAGCTTATTCCTTTTCGACTCGATAGTTATTCTTCTCCTGCTAAACAATGGGGTGAAGTGACTCAATCTATCATTTATCATCAAGTTCGAAAATATCTTTTAAGACTTGATGAAAGGAAAGATAATGTAAAGTATTGGAGACCACAAGTTTTGTAGGTGTTTTTTTGGGATTAGAGACTTGTTCATGGATTCATTGAAGGATTGAGAGAACTAACTTTTGGGTTTTGATCTTCGCTAGGTTGTTTACTAATGATCCTCGTCATGATTGGAATCAAATCGTGTTTTGTAATTCATTGAAAAAAGGTATTCTTTCTTCTTTCTCTCAATTGAACCCTTTGCCAAATTAGATTAACGTCTATGTTTTTTTTTTAATTTTTGAAAAAGGTGGATTGTATGTTTTGGCTCATATTATTAAATCAGAATTTTCATCTGAATCGATTCGAGAATTACAAGAACAACAATTGAATTGGTTAAGTTTGGTGGATATTTCGAATATTAAAGCTTTTGTGGATATCACACTTGCGCCAGATGAAAGAGTTGGAGCTCGTCATTTATTACTGACTTCAGGTAAATTGTCAATCCAAACTTTTTAACTGTGAAAAAAAAACATTGATTTGGTTTGGGTTTGAAAATGCAAATAGGTTTAGGTGGGATGAGACCTAATATTTGTATGTTGGGATTTCCAACGAATTTAAAGTGGAGAAGAAAAGGAAAAATGTTTAGTGAGTCAGAAGAAACCAATGAAACAAATGAAAGAAGACAAAAAAGGATGAAGAGAAGATCGGATAGTTCATTGACTGTGAAAGGATTGATTATCGAATCAGGACCTGAAGTGAAGATTGATTGTTTGGGATCATTACCTACTGATTCACAAAGATCTGAAACACCTATTAAACCGATTGATTTTGTTGGAATCATTGAAGATTCATTAAGTTTAAATAAATCAGTAGGACTGACCTATGGATTTGAGGCTTTAAAGTTACCTACGTCTATTAGTAAACCACAGAGTCAAGAAGCAAACCATCATCGATTACAGCTTAGTACGAGTTTAGGAGGATTAGCATCAGCTAGTTTTGGAGGATTAGGTGGGAATGGAAAGCCCGCCGAGGAAGAACCGATCAAGAAGAAAAGATGGATCGATCTTTGGCCGATCTTGAGAGATGGTGAATCGGGTTGGGAAACTTATACGATGGTCTTACAGTTGGGAATGATCTTATCTATGGTACCGTCTTGGAGAAGTCAACATACTTTAAGAGTTGAGAGCTTAGGTCATTTTTCTTAAAAGAACAAAATAGCTCGAAAAGATAGAAATCAAAAAGAGCATTGGAAGAAAAAAAAGATGATGAGAAAAACTGACATTTGGTTTTTTTTTTCTTTTCTCTTTGATGGTTGAATAGGTGACGATTTTTTGTGAATTAGAAGAAGAGATTGAAGAAGAAAGAAGACGAATGGAAAAGTTGTTGAATGATTTGAGGATCAGAGCTTCTTTGAGAGTATGTGTTTTGGGAAATGGAGAGATTCAAAGTTATGAATGTTTAGTGAAAGGTAAAGAAGTGGATGTGATGACTTGGTCTACTTTGGAAAATGCATTAGGTGGTGATCCAGTGAGTGAAGATTTTCTTTTTGATTTGATTTTAGATTTGGAAACTAAAGAGTTTATTCTTTTCAATTATATAGTGGTGGGAAACATTAAAGTTTATGAGAGCACAAGATGGACCTTATGTAGGAACATCAACTAATTCTAATAAAAGAACCAATCCACGAGAAAGTTCGAATCCAAGTAGCAGAGCCGAAGACGGCAATGTGAAACAAAAATCAGTAGATAGATCATTATTAACCAAACATTCCCAAACGAATAATATTCGAATCAAAGCATTTCATCCGTTTAGTAGAAGACCATCACAAGACGTTCGAACGACGAGTAATGAAGGAGAAGGGGATGAAAGCTCACAAGAAGATGAAGAAGAAGAATTGATGTTAGAAGAGAATGATGGAGATGATGATACGATTGCGAGAGCGGCTTATAAGAAAAGAAGTTCGAAAACTTCGGGTCGGAATGTTAGTAGGATCTTTGAAGGATTACCAGACGAACCATCAACACCTAGAGCCAGCTTATCGATGCTTCATCAAAGTAGTAGTAGTAGTAGTAGTAGTAGTAGTAGTAGTGCTGGTACGCTTAAGGATCCTAGGAGTACATTTGATCATCATTCACTTGATTTACAAAACTTGAGTTTGTTTACGGGTTTGGAAACGAATGGAAAGTTTGGAGAAGAATCAACTGAACTAAGTTCATTAGGATCGAAACCGAAATCGAAGCCAAGCTTACATCAATCAAAAAGACCTGGTTCATTACTTAAAACTCCTTCTTCATTTAAAAAGATCATCAATCGGAATCGAAGAAAGAAATCTGTTCGACCGAACCTTGAAAGGATCTCTTCGATTGGTTTAACTGATACTACTAATGATACTTCGAATCTTAATCCGGTTGTCGAACTTGATTTTAATTCGTTACCTATGAGAGCTCAGTTGGTTTGTTTAAACGAGTTGATCAAATTCAATTCGAGTTCAGTTGATGATCATGATCAAGAAGGTGAAGAAACTGTGTTGATCTTTACTAGTTTACCTCCACCTGATTTAGGTTCTTCTAAGTCTTATGAAAGTAAGTGTGTTGCGAAAATGAATAAAAAAACGAACCCATGATTCCTCCCTTAAAGAAGTCTTGTTTTTTTTTGGAAATTGATTTTTTGGTTTTTTTGGGGGTTTGTTTAGGTTCTTTGAGGTATTTGGATGAGATTGAATGTTTTTTGGATGGCTTACCACCTGTTTTGGCTATTTATGCTAAACAACTTACGGTGACGTAAGTAGTTGATTTGATTTTGATTTTGATTTTTTTGGGGAAATGGGGTTTGGGATGGGGTTTAGAGAATTGATGGATGCTTTTTTTCTGGTTTTTAATAGGGCTTCACTTTGAATTTTGGGTGATTGGTTTGGAAGGTATGGTGTTTCTATGGTGTGATGGGTTTTTAGTTTTTTTTTGATTATCAAGGTTTTTTTGGTATGGTATGGTATGGTATGGAAAAAGATGAAACATCAAGTGTGTGTATTATGATTTCAAACCAGTTTTTTATATATGAATTAATCAAAGGAAAAAGGAGAGGGAAAAAGTGATGTGATAGGTAATGAATGTGTTTTGTTTTTCCTTTGGTTTTTTGTAATTTTATTTTACTTATTTATTTATATTATATTATTATTATTAACTCTATAGATAGATATATACATTTCTTTAGATTTATTTTAAGTTTTTTGGATTGGATTCATTTTATTTTCAAACATTTGTATTTTTTTTTTTCCTTTTTTTCTTTTTTGTTGAGGAGGGTTATGGATTTGATTTTTTTAAAATATATAGCATTTTTTTGATTTTTTTTGATACATTTTTTTCTGGTTCTGGTTTTTTTTTCTGTAAAGTGTTTACTCTTTTTTATTTTGGTGGAAAGGATTGTTTTTTTTTTTTATTTTGATTTTGAAAAGATGTGGTTTTAGAGCTTTAGAAAGATAATATGTACAAATGTATCATCAAAAAAAAAGAGGATGTGTTTGAAATTTCAAAAGGTTTGATATATATATGAGAATATATGTAGAAAGATTTGATTGAGCCTTTGAGTTTGTTAAACCCTGAAATCTAACATAATTGGGCTCACATTTTGTATGAAAAGATTCTGATTGATTTGAAATTGATTTGATGAGCCTACCTTTTTGATGGTTCAATTAGTAGAAGTTTGAGAAAATAAATGTGATCTGTAAGACATGTGTGGTCTTTTGAACACTACTGAAAACATTCTTGTGATAAACTGTTCAGAAGTTCTTCATATTCTTCAACACAGATCTTTCCTTGAGCATATCAAGTTGATCTCAATATACTCCAAGGGTTTTTGAAAAAAATACAAGAAGTTTCCTAGATTTGATTTCAAGATCTCCAACTCATAATGAAAGTCTCAATCAATGATTCTCAATTCTACTCAAATCATGTTGTAAGGCTGAACTTGCATGATATCTGACCCGGGCGGAAGAAAGATCAGGAGCGCATGTGGGTGGCCACACTTGGGCTGAGAGAAGATCCAGGATTATGTGAGATATAAGGTCAGTAACTCTGACTCAAAATTGGTATTGCTGAATATTGATGAGAGCACCAAATCTGGTGAAAGAACTTGTAGATTCTGTACATACAAAAAGGTTTCCATAAAGGTTGGTGTCTGACTCCTGATTCAACTGAACCAAGCTCAAATGAACACCTTATGATTTATTCAGATGGGAATCTTGTAAAAGACAGGTACCACTTTTCCCCGGCCTTCTTCTTCCTTTGTCCCCTACTGCTGATCTTCCTCTTGGTGTGCAATACTTCTATACACAAAAACATACACAAAAGAAAATTGAAAGATGAAATCTGGAGACATTTACTTATGGCTTGTATTCCCTTGATCTTCTGAAAAAGATGTTACAATCAAACATTGAGAGTTGGAACAAAGAGATCCATGTAAGATATTAGGCATTGGGCGAGGTTTCTGAAAATTTTCGTTTTTTGGTTGCGGGAACCAATTCAAAGGTAGTTCAGTTTTCTTGGAATGCTTGAGTAGGGATGGCTGGCACAATATCAAAGCCACCCAAAGCACAGCAAAAAAATATTTCTTGTTTTGCTTTACAAAAATTTTCTGAAATTTCATCGGGCGTAGAGCATCCTTGCTTGACCTGTAAAAGCCACAAGCCCTAATCGCGCCACAAAAGACAC